AATCTTTGTTAAAAAATCGTATTTTCTATTGTACAGGTTTAAATGATATCCATATATTTTTGCATTAAAAAAAGAATGAAGGGGAACAAACAGCACCCTGTTTGAGTTACTGATTTTGCAACTGACAAAAACCAGTGTTATTATCATTACTGACATCTCTGCCTACAACCTAAATTTATAGATACTGAAATTTAAAATGCTGTTTTCAATCCACTTTTAGCAACATATTTAGTCCAGGTTTAGCCCTCCCTAATTTCACCACTGAGAATTGATGAAAATTTTGCCATTAGTGTTGGGAACATTAACGTGAATGCTCTCATTCGAGGCACTCTCCTGTCTGACAGGTCTCTTACGTCTCACATATTCAGGATAAACACTTCCATCTTATGAGATACGAATTATAGTTCTCCTTAAAAAAAGCCACTAAAACGTAGCTTTAGCTTTGCTGAACAGTAAATACTTGTTAACGTTCACCTGATTTCCTTATTCAGGGCGCCTGTACACGTGTCAGTTCTACTTTCTGATGGACAAGCGTTATGTTCCTAGTACATTAGATCAAATGTCCCTTCCAAGGCTCACTGTATTCAGAATAATTTTATATTTGTTTTCTTCAGTGCTGGATACAGCTGTCAATTCTCACTAGAGTGGCACTGCCTACACATACTGAATACTCGCCATCCTTATGTATTTCAAGGCTTCTCCAAGTTGTCTTTTTTTCATATATTCAATTTACAACGCACCTATCACTCCAGTCATCTACCCATCAACTCAGAATTTATAAAACAGTATAAATTACAAGAGCACAGCTATAGCGTTCATATTACCTAATCACAGAATCTGTTCTGTTGTACCCTGGGATGGAAGAAGCCTTTTCTCCTGGAGATCCCAAAATTTGAAGTGTTGTATTAATGTCAACTTCAGATGAATGCTTAATGGAATATTCCATTATTTCTGGAGGTATTAGCGGAGTCTCTCCCTGAGTATCATCAGCTAAGAGGTAGCCTTTAGTTTAAAAAAAATTAAAAATGAACACTTAACAAATCTACATTTATCAAATTGTACTATAAATGTTTTCAGTTTTATTTGATTTACATACATCATATAAATTGATGTAAAAGTCAAATATAAATGTTAACCTGTTAATTTCAAGTTGATAAGAAACTTTCTATTTCTCAGATAAGTAACCCTCAAAAATATAGAAATGGACAAAGGACAAATGTTTTATTCATCAAGTTTATAATTCATAGGGAAATATAGGCTTTTTATAATCTACTACCTTTTAATTATTTTCAGTAGTATATTCTATAAAGTTAATAGGAATTCTGCTATTATCTATATCAGAAATCTATATTTGGGAATGCCTTTCCAAAAGGAAAGATTTTTTCCTGATTATTTAAAATACACAAACACTAAGAATATGGTGGTTAAGGAAGAAGACTCTAAAAGTCAGACTGCCTAGATTTACATTCTGTCTCGAAAAATTAACAGCAGTGTGACTATGGGCTGTTTCTTATATTCCCTAAGTCTCAGCTTTTTCATCTATTA